ATCGTAATTTTGTTTTTTCCCAATTATATTTCACTTGATTGATTTTCACACTAGCAAAAAAGCATAGGAACTTTAGTTCACTTTGCATAACCGGTCTCTCCGGATGCTAAGTTGCCTAATTCTACCCTTAAATAGAAACTTGCAAGAACACCAAGACAGACAAAATCTAGTTTGATAAAAAAACGTTACCTTATCGATTGTTCCATTTGGATATAATGAATAGAACAAAAGTCCATCTCCTTGGCGTGGCCTTACCTTGAATCCTATGCAGCGTTCGTAATCATATCCAACACCCATGTTTGCACCATTCTGAAGATCATGATATTAGATTGCAGTCCGTATTATCTAACATTCTAAATAAGTCGTTCACGTGCTTCCTATTCTAGTTTCTGGTCATCAATAGACACAAATCAAATGATCTTACCTCGTATGGAAACATGGTTTCTCCACCTTCCTCCACATCCGACAAGTACAGCAGGAATGAAGCAATCTGCAAGAGCAAGAAACCAGGGGTTAGTGAACAGATTAATATGATCAGGTCTAGTGCGCCGAAAATATGAAGGGACCATGTGCAGAAAGCTTTTGCCAATCTCAAAATTGTATGCATATAATTTTTTTATTATTCTGTGCTCTCTCCTGTTGTCATTTACTATAGCACAGAGTTCTCGTGTCAAGGAGTAGATTAGCTGAAAAAAGCTGTGTGCACTAGACAAGCATACGACACCAACCAAAAGTACTTTTCCGGAATCATGTGAATCAAAAGTACTATAGAATAATTTCAACATAATGGTGTTTGCATTCTTTTTTTCCAGTTATACTAAACTGCCATTTTCATTCTTCTATGCAACAAAAGATTTTACCCAAAACGTTAAAGAAAACAAAATTGATATGATTAGGCGCTCGTCCATGCTCACGTCAAATAATATCATATGAATCATCATCATAAAAACAAAAGTAAGTATATAAGTCATTGTAAAGCAATAGTGATGTCTTGTTATTATATACCCTTTGGCTGCTTTGTGGACCATACTCTGCAGGGTTGAATGCATCATAGTGAGCAACATATCTCTGTCCAATCTCATACCGAAGAACATTGAAAGCCTGCAACATGGCGATATGCCACATTACACAAGACAATCTCAGAAATTACCTGAAATAAAAGGATAAATCTTTCGAAACAGATAAAACGTGCTACCTATAATGGATTA